ACAACCATCATGTGCAAATGATTGTTATATGAATTGGTTTCTTCAATTAAAGTTAAGAATAAATGATTGTGTAATAGGACCAAATTCAAGTCAACAACGTTTAGAATCATTATTTTTTGGTACACATCGATATATTCTTAAAAGATTAATGACAAAAACTAATAAACCAAAATTAAATAGTAATATTAATAATATCAATCAAAATTCATTATCGTCATCTTATTCATCCCAATTTATTGATAATAATGAAAGAAATCAATTATTTAATTTATATTATCATAGTCGACAACAAAATCGATTGAGATTCTATACAAATGATAAATCAACAAAAGAAATCATATCTTCAATCAAAGACTTTATTCAAAATAGAAACCATCAACATTTATCAAATATTCATTCTATTCAACAATCATTACAAGATGAACTAATCGATAATGATCATAATAAACAACATACTGATCGTTGTCATTCAATAATGATACGATGTTCATGTCTTACAACAATAATACGAAATTTATCATTTATTCAAGAAAATGAATATTTAGCAAATGATCGTCGTTTATTAGATATTCTCGAACGAATATTAAATTGTCATCATCAAGATATGCATAGAATATTTGGATATGAATTACATCTACATCAACAATATTTTCATACGTGTTCAAATTGTTCTGATATAATCAATATTGATGATACACAATTAGAATCATTCATTGATTCTACTGCTCAGGTATATTAAAACTAGCTAATGTTTTTCATTTCTTTCTATGCGTAAACAATACACAAATCTCTAGAACAAAATAAATCAAACAGACTCACGAAAGAATCGGTTGAAATGATTTATTACTATTTAATTCATGTTTTTTGGTATGTGGCAAGGATTGAATGAAGTACTTTTGACCATAAATTTTGTCTAGAAATAGATCACATGATCTTAAGAATATTCACTCAAATTCTTGGTCATAGCAATTGCTTCTTTCTTGAAAAAATTCAACATTGAAAAATGCTTGATTTTTCTGACTGTTTCTAAAATCTAATCAGCATGTGAACATTGAATATTTCAAAAAAGAACTCATCATTGTGAATGAAAACTTGAGAATTTTTCTCAGAATCACAAGAAAACAAAAGTAAAGGTCAAAAGTAAAATCCCTCGAATAAAAAGCCATGGTTTTAATTAACATCGCTCCTTCAAAAATGGCCTTTTATTGCGAACAATTTTTTTGTTAACATTGATCTAGAAAACCAAAACTTTTTAGAAAATTCTTCTAGTATTCTAACAGGTAATTTTAGCAAATAAGCGCCGAAAAACCATGATTTTGGTCAAAAAAAAAACACTTTTCTACTAGAGAAAATTGTTTCATGTAAACAAATATTATTTTACCCTCGAATTCTTTTGATATTATTCTACTCTAGAAGTTCTCTGTATCTACCTAAAACATGAGCTCAAAGGTCATGAATTACTTCGCGTAATTTAATCATCAGCTCTTTTTGGACGTTCATACACATAAATTAGGCATTTGTTGCAAGGTTACATTTTCATCGTATTATCTTTGAAATTTTATAATAGGTCACGAAAAAAAAGAAGACATATTTATTCTGATCTCAAATACGAGAAATGTATCACATCTGTGTGTATTTCCCAGAGTAGGATTCTTTTGTCGTTCGCTCTTTTCTTTCCTGTCCATCTGTGGAACTAATATACAGCGTTCCTTTAGGATTACAACGGTCAGCAGATAAAAAAAGCTCTAAAAAAGAAAACGAATCAGTATTAATCAGCAATTTTTTTTAATATTTTTTTATCTGTAGTAACTACACAATTCTGAATTTCTTTCTAGGTTGATAATTCTAATCCGTTGAATGACTTTTTTCAAAAATTTACTCAAGTATCTACAGATATAACAATTGATGATCCACTTTCTTGTATAAATGATTGTAATCAACGACATTTAATGTATCTTCTTGATAATACATTTATTACACTTTCAAATTTCTCAACATTTATTGAATTTCGTCATTGTTATTCAGTAACACGATATCGATTTATAAATACTCTTATTCATTGGATATTATGTTCATTATCATTTGCTAATGAACCATTTATTTCAATGATAATAGAAGATAAACTTCCAAATAGTTCAATTATAAATAATAAAAAGAAAGAAAAAATTTATATAACACCACGTCAAATATCATTACAAATCTTGGCTAAATTATGTACAAATGAAATTAATGTTGATTTTATATTACTTGATTTAAGTATAAAAAAACTTAAATTATTATGTCATACACTTCTTTCTATTATGAATACATCAAATCAAGAAGATATTGATCGTGAATATTGTTTAATAATTATATGTTCATTATGTAAACGTAATCGACAATTAGTTGAATTTTTTTGTTCACATCTTATTTGTATTGAATTAATATTTAATTATCTTGAATTATATGAATATAATCAACAACAATATTTAATAACAACATTAACAACATGTTGTAATGCAACATCATCACTAACAATACCAATAAATCCTCCAATTAATCATTCAATTGATATGATGATTGATTCATGTATTCAAATTTTATTATTATTTGCTTCGATTAAAGAAAATAATTATTTAAAATTATTTGAATATAAACTTCTTAATATGTCATCATCGATTTATTTCGAACAAAAAATATTAAAATCGTTTGCAGATATATTATATATGATGAAGTTATAAATTTTAAAGTATTGTTTTTTCTTTTCTTTTTGTATTTACTAAGTGTGTTAATTTGTGTTTTTCTTTTTACTATTGAAATAAAAATGTTATGATTAAATATTATTTGAAAATTTATTTCTGTTAAACTTAAGTTTACTATTAACTAGTATTTGTTAATTTTCGTTTTTAATTAGAAGCTACTATTTGAATAATTTCTTTTTCGATATCATTGCATAGTACTGTCATGCACGTACACATCCATTGTTTCAAGCTTTATGACAAAAACCAAAATTTTTTTGTTGATAGAAAAAACCCCGTAACCAAAGGGTTAATGACGGTTGACTAAATTGTGTGGGTTAAAGACATTGAGTTTCTTTTCGTAGATACTAATCAAATTTTGTCATAAGTAGCATCATTAAAGGTTACATCTTGTTCATTTTTATTCAATTTAGTATCAGAAATGAACACATCCTAAAAATCATCAGACTTTCAATGGCTATTTGCTCAATTGTTAAATGGCAGTTTCAAGATATAGATTATCATCAGTAAAAGTACTTTCCTTTTTTTGTCCAATACACAGCAATTTGATTTTTATAATATGAATTATTATTTGAGAAGAGAAATACAGTTTTTCGTAATTCAAAGTTCTGAATTCTATTAGAATTGTAATATGATAATAATGACAAAAACATATCATTATAATTTACACACAAGCTACGTACACGATATATGTTGTGTTATCGTAACTTGATACTATCTCAAAGTTGACAGAATATTAAAATGAGAAAACCAAAATCAATAATAGTGTTTTGTAAAAGACTGATTCAGAGAAGTTTATTTAAAAAAGGTGTTGGCTCAATCTCTCTGCTTTGAAAACGTAAAACATGATGTAGTTGTTCTTGCTAATTCAAGAAAGTTTGTTTCATTCTATATAGTTCAGAGCTAGGCAACTGAATTTAAGTCAATTCATTTGATGAACTTAGTTCAATTGAGTCGGGGGAAAAAATCTTAACCAAAGAATTGCATTAAATGAAAAAAAAAAACTTTCGGCGATCGTTGAACGGAATTGAAAAATTACTTTTCGAGATCTGCGAAGTTAACTCAATTAAACTCAGAGAAATTTCTGAAATTATTGTTCTAAGATCAATTTACATAATGAAGCTAATGAAACGTCAATATATGGCTATGATTTATTTTGTATTTTCTCTCCAGAACTTTTATCTTGAGATGGCTGATTCGCGTCGGCACATTTATATATTTTTTTGTTGCACTCACTCTAACTTATCGCTATTTTGTTTCGTTTTTTGATGAGTGCATATAATCTATGCACTTATACTCTTAACGTATCGATGTGTTTTCCCAAGCTTTCACGACATAAGTTCAATTTTCGTTTATCTTTATCTACTATTCGTTTCAAAATACTCTGTATTCCACTATTGTGGAACTCACGTATGTTTTCGAAGAAAATACTGAGTGTAAGTTTTCAGTTCGAGGTTGGCGGCTCCCCCCCCCCCCCCCCCCCCCCCCCCCCCCCACCCACACCCAGCCACGCAGCACCCCCGCACCACCCCCCCCCCCCCACCCACACCCCCCCCCCCCCC